GAGCCGGCCGCGGGCTGGGGGCGAGGCCGCTGAAACTCAGCCCTGGGCGACCCTGCGCTTACCTCACTCTGTGCCCGAGACCTGTGGAAAATATGGGCGTTGCGTCGCTGCCCCGGGCGCCCTAGGATCTCAGGGGGCGGCAGGGCGCTCGCTCCGGCCTCCGCGCTGGCTCCGGCCTCCGCACCGGCTGAGGAGCTGAACTTGTAGGTATCTGTTCCCGCTGAGCATCTAAACAGCTGTTCTACAAAACCCGAGGCGCTGAACATGCTGTGAATAAATACCGCAATGCTTTCAGAACATGAGCAGGGAGACATAAAAAGGGTGTATATGATAATTAATATGTTGGCGCTTGGTGGTTGCATCTGCGTTTTGAAACCACATGCTTTGCGTATGGAACATGCAGCTTGTTGGGTGAGTCGTGCTCGACTCCTGACAGGCAGCCGCTCTTTCAACACCCTCTGGCAAGCATCTGAAACACCCTTGGAGCTAGAGCTGCTCTGCTGTGACTGCACCCAGTCTGGCAACAGGATGGAGATGTACAAAGACTGTTCAACAGCGGCAATGTTCTTATTAATGAGAAGGAGAGGGCACTCTGCCATGTAGCTCAATAAGCTCTGTGAGAGAGGGGAGGAGGGGTTGGTGGTGCCATACAGCTCGTGATTTTTTTGAGTTTTCTTGTATTTCTGGACCACAAAAATGTTAAACGCATAGGGCTTTGCACATTATTGTCAGAGATTCAATTGAAATGGCAATAATGTTTCTTGCAATGAAACAGAAATCTATACCCTTTCAGGTAGGATTAATTACTGATTTCAGATAAACTAAGAACTTTTGGAACTCGTTATTTGTCCATGTTCCGTTTCCTAATGTCATTAATGAAAACAAAAAGCTGTGAAAGAAATTTCAAGTGCTCTTTCATTGCTTTGTACGTGCTCTCACTACCTGCATAAATACAGATTTGTCTGTGCTTAAAGTCTGCAGAAATTATAATCAAGTTTGGATTTTTTTCCTTTTTTAGGAAGACTGAATAATCCTTAGTTAATAAGTCTGATGAAGATGTCTTTAAAAATCTGGATACTTACTTAGATATTTTAATATGCATTAAGGAGCCAAGTTATTACCAAATTTTTTTAAATGTTGCTGGATGACTTTGTTGCCATAGCTTCACTAGCCTGTGAATCCCCTATTTCCATTTTGCCAAAAATTTGCCAATGTTATCCTTCTGTCCCATCACTGAAGGAGAAAAATTTTCACACTCTCCTCTTTCTCTATCAGATCTGTTACCTTAAGTACATAGTGTAGTTGGACATTTCTCAGCCTTTTACCTGATACCTGCCTTTCCTAGAGGTGCACACATCCATTGGCATCAGACTCAAATTCTGAATGGCTGTTTTCTATGTAGTGACTAATGTTGGATCTCTCAGGCATACATCCAGAAGTAAAAGCCCATATCGGATACCGTTTTCTAACTGTGGAATGCTGTCATGTATGTCTTAAAAGCTGTGTGCACTGCCTTAGACCTCTTTTGTTGAGTTTAGTTCCAACTTGTAAAAGCTTATATACACGTAAGGACTTTGCTTCTTAGACATATTAATCAGGAAGGGGGAAAAAATAAATAAAAAATGAAGTAAATATACATTTAGAAAAGGAATTTCTTAAACAGGATTTTTGCTCTTGAAAGTGCTATAAAGTTACAGTTTTTTGGAAAGAAATGCTGTACTAAACATAGAAAGCCTGTGAGACCTGAATTTGATTATAATCCTTAAACTAGGAACTACTTTTACAGGAAATCCAAGGAGGGACATTTTACAAGGGCATGTAGCAGTAGGACAAGGGGTAATGGTTTTAAACTGGAAGGGAGGTTAAACATTAGGTTAAACATTAGGAAGAAATTTAGTGTGAGGGTGGTGAGACACTGGCACAAGCTGCCCGGAGAAGCTGTGGATGCCCCATCCCTGGAAGTGTTCAAGGCCAGGTTGGAGGGGTCTCTGAGCAACCTGGTCTAGTGGGAGGTGTCCCTGCTTATGGCAGGGAGGCTGGAACTAGATGATCTTTAAGGTCACTTTGAACTCAAACTACTCTGTGATTCTATGATCTCTCTACTTACCTTGTCTGTGTTGTCGGAAGAAGTGTAATCACTTTCCATTAGTGGAAGGGATTTCCTCTTTGTACTGTCTTTAACCGTACTAGCTGAAGCTGCAAGTTCACTGGCTGGAGAAGTAGTTCATCATTGAGAGATTCTTAGATTTACTTGATGGCATTCCCAACTTTCAATAGATATAAGCCAAATACAGTAGAAGCAAGAAGAAACATTATCCCTGTCAGCACAGCATATCTTTGTGTGTTCTCTATGAATCTGTGCTTCATTTTCTGATTAAAAAATGGTTATCTTTACTGTGTCCTTGAGAAGCACAAGATGCATGGAGTGGCTGAAGGAAACAGGGAGTGATAATGAGTTAAGGTGTAGGAAGGCTGCTAGATCAAGGAACTTGGCCTTCTTTAGCACACTTATTCCCTTTGAGTTTCAATTCATCTGTCTGCTTGCTGGTTAAGCCCTGTTTTGAAGGCCTGCATAACTGCTAAAGCATCCCATAGACTCATCCTGCTCTACTGACCAGAGCTTCACTTCTGTAAATGAATCTCACAAAATATAAGCTTCACTATTTTTTCGATGTATTTTCATATATTTGCCCATATACTTTTGCATATAAGTGTAGTTTTGAATGTATCTGTTTCAACAAAGAAATTGTAATTAATTTTTGTATTCACTTATACATCACTATTACACAATGTGTATGCTTATATAAATCATAAATGCAGTACACATACGGTCTAGAATATAAGACAATTCAATGAAGTAAACTAGATAAGTATAAAATAAATGTTAAAAAAGAGAAGAGCCTTAAAACACAGGAATGAGAATTGAATACATACTGGTATCCATCAGATTTTATTTGAAGCTGTATGTTTGATCTCATATGTACTAAATTCCTCTTGTGTAATGCCAAACAATTCAAGCACAACAGCTGTTAGCTGAGCAACAAGAGCCAAGCAGTAATATAAAATATCATCATATGGATTGCATTCTATTGAGGAGAAAATAATAAAATTAGCAGTAGACTAGATAAAGTTGTGGAACTGACACAAGAGAATGACAGGTGAAAATTGGACAATTAATTTGCTTTCTGTTTATCAGTTGGTGGTATTTATACTATTTCTTGCCATTTGTCTGCCATGGAAGTAACCACAGAAGAAACACCAATATCTTCCCCTTCCTTTTTGAATCCAGCAACAGCTTTACTTAATCTCAGCCAAAATAATTTTGGTTTTGGTCTATGCATCTCAAACCTTTTTATATGAAACACAAGTATCTCCTCTCTTCCTGAGTTTTTTCTTTAGCAGTGTGAATCTTTGTTGAAACAGTTTAGTATTTGCTGAGATTGATGCAAATAAATGTCTTCCTAACATATAGAAAATATGTAAATTTTTGAAAAGCAAATATATATGGATATAGCTAGGCTTTACTTTGCCCATCTGTGATATGAAGTGTCTGAAGGAAGAGGGAGTGGAAAGGAAAAGGAAATAAGAGTTATTTTTTTACTCCTGAGGTCAAACAGGATTGCAACCAAGTAAACCCAACAACCATAGACTGTATTTATTGTGGTACTTGAAATAGCAGAGAAGCACAGATGTATCACTCTAATTCTTTGTTACTTGTTCATGAATCCCAGTGGGATTTATTTAGTAAACACAATTGTGTTCAAGTTTAGCAATTACTAAGAAAGGAGATGGCTCTGAAAACTGAAACAAAGAGTGTATCAGTGTAGTGTCTCAGTATGATCAGAAAGTGAGTAATGGTTTGGAGGTCTGACCCATAAATAACAAGGCTGGGCTTATTTATTAACACAGAGTACGTGTAATTTTGGCTGTAGGCTTTCCCTCTTTCAGTATGATTTGCAAATGCTGGTAGGTCTATATAATTTTATTTATTTCATATTTAAGTAGTGTACCTTCTTGTGTTTAAAGAGCATGGGCATAAGGGATTATCACTGTGTACGTGACTAAAATGAACTAAAATCTTTGTACCTTCACTCACCCTTTGTACTTTTCTTCTATAATCTTACTTGTCATTTCAGGAGCAATTCATAGCAAATGGAAGTTCAAGACACTATCTCTTTATAATCTCATTTTTTTCTCTAAATTAAAATAATAAAATTATAGAAACAGAATAATTTAGGTTGGAAGGATCCTCTGGAGCTCATATGATTTAATCCCTGTTTGAAACAGGGCTGACTTACATGAAGTTGCTGACAAACTTTTCCAGTCAAGTTTTGAATATCTCAAAGCAAGAAAAAATCAGCTTTTCTTGGCAATGCTTTCCAATGCTTGACTGCTTTCTCAAAGCAAACAAACAAAAAATCCTTATATCTAATAAAATTTTCCTTGTTGTAACTTTGTATTTCTCTTACCCTCTATCTACCTCTTCAAAAAAAGTTTGGCTCTGTCTTCTCTTTATATTATCATAAGGTAGTTGAAGACAGCAGTAAGATTCCCTGCCACACACACACCTTAACCTTG